GTGAGTCTCTGCAGAAGCCTCTGGAAGAAAAGCCGCTCTGCTGACATCCTTACTTTAGCCTCCAGGACCCACGTTGACCCTCTGACCTCACTATGTTAAAGTCATATTGTTTCAAGCCGTTATGATTGGAGCTGTCTGTTATATCAGTGAGAGGAAACATATATAAATCTAGCGAGTGGTCCTGATCACTTGGATTTTGTATTCTTCCCATATTCCAGATGTGCCCTTGATTTCTTACGTGATCTTAATTCACTTCAAATTTCCTTCTTTCAGAAGTCATGTGTGGAACTCAGCGTCTCGAACACGCCAGGCAAGAGCTCTACCGCTGAGCTCCACCCCGTCCTGTAATTGCTTTTAACCACTCATTTCTTTATTAGATTTGAGCTTCCTGAGAGGAAGAATGGCCGGCCCTATTTTGTCTTTGTGTCTCTGAGCTGGGCTGAATGTGGAGTAAGTGCTGTCATTGGTTGAATGAGGGGTCATATCACTGCCTGAAGGAGAATTTTCAAGTGGATCAAAAGGAATTGTGTCTGTCCTCTGGCTTGGGAAGATTTGGGGTCACGCTTTGAAGACAACAACCTTGGACGAAAACAGCTCACAATAGAAGGGCCTGTTCTTCCAACAGCTACTTGATTCCAGCTGTTTTCTTCTCTAGTGCTGGAGTCTGCTGAAGTCTGGCAAGAATGGCGGGCTCACTTGTGTGGGTGTGGGTAATTGAGCGTGAGTGGGCTATGAAAGCTCTTGTGGGGACTAACTCAAGCAATTTCTTTTCCGAGTCTTGTCCAGATCACAGGGCCTGAGTGTTTTCTGGAAGTAGTCTTCCCCACTTGAGTGGATTCTCCTCCAGGGCCCTGAGTATCCCTTTAGCCTCTGCTCTCAGGGCCTGACCTTGTCTTGTCGTTGTCATCATCTTCCTCTTCCTCTCCTCCTCCTCCTCCTCTTCCTCCTCCTTGGTTCTTGCTAGAGTTCCCATGGAAACTAGAGGGTGTATGTGAACTCATGATTTTGGCTTCTCTATGACAGCAGTTCTTTGGGGTTCTTTGCCACAGCGTGGTGCAGAAAGTCTCTGTCACTCCCACACTACTTCTTCTCCCCTCTTTCTGTGTTTCTCATCTCTCCCCTTCTCTGCTTATGGAATTCTGATTTCTCCAGCATTTCCCTTGGGACGTAGCCAGCCCCCAGCCCCATGCCCTGCCTCTGCTTCCTTCAGATATAGCTTGTCTATCTTTGTTCCTGCTGCTGTTGAGTAGCTGCTCAGGAGTTCACATCATACGTTTTCATGGTGAGGACAACTCCTTTTTCAACGAGGTCCCTGGGCACTCAGACATTTCTAAAACGAGGAAAAGACTAGAGGGAGACAAGGAGGATGTGACTGTGTGGCTGCACAGGTCCCCCGAGTGGCGGGTGCTGGATGCCAGGGTAGTGACAGCTCTCTCAAAACACATGCTGGGCAGAAGGACTGGTTTTCCCTGTCAGATGAAGGAATTTCCATAAATATAATTAAAATAATGTGGAAGGCATATACAGCCCACACAATTGAAACCAGGGACTTAACAGATATTTATATACCATCATACACAGCAGCTTTAGTGTATAAGTGGGAAAGAACCCAAACATGCACCAACAGAAGAGATGATGTTTAAATGGATAAACAAATATGGCAGATGCATACAACGGGATATTAGCCTTATAAAAGGATATAATTCTGATACAGGCTACAGCACGAGTCAACCTTGAATACATTTTACTGAGTGAAGTAAGCCAGATATGGAGAGATAAGTACGATGTCATTCCACCTGTATGAGAGACCTAGAACTGTCAAGCTTATAGGATGTACAATGGTGATCCTCAGACCCCTGGGAGAGAGAAGACATGGAGTACTATCAAAGGGGTCAGCATGCTGTTCAAGGAGATCATTGTGCATGCAATACATGCACTTAATCTTTAAGTGTTAATCATTAAGTCTCAATGGAGCTGAACAGTACACTTAAAATGGTAAGACTGGTAAAGCACATGTTAGCTGTCCTTTTACCACAATAGGACAATATAACCACAGTGAGTAGCATGGATACCATAGTTTTGTATAAACTCATAATTCATTTTTCTTTTTGGTCAAGGGCATGGATAGAAGAATCAAAAAATGTACAAAGATTATTGGAGATTCACCTATCAACATAGCTGTTGTTTGTGTACCTTCTTTCTGTGCTGTGCTGCAAATAAAGTTTACTTAAATAACGTTGAAATATGCCTTCCTTCTAAGTAATAGTCCCTGTGACTTCTGTACACCAGTCTAGAAAAGAAAACATATTTATTGAGGCAGATGCATATTTACCAAAGTTACCAAAATAAACTGGGTGACTGTGGCAACCCTTGGAACTGGGCTGGGAAACCTAGATTTTGCAATTTTTACACACACATTGAATGACAGTTCTTGTCCCGGGTTCCCTGACTTCATACAGGAAGTATGTGACCTCCAGGTCCCCAGGCTCTCTGAAAGGGAGCTTTGATTCAGACAAAGCCAGCAGTGGGATTCCTCTCAGCTCAGGTAATTTCAGTGGCTGATAGCCGTGTTAACGTTTTGAAAAACAAATACCACCTGCTTGCCTAATCTGAGAATGGGAATTCGGGTGGAATGACCTCAAACTCGATGACCATATGCCCTGGGTGCTTGGCAGGCTTAGAGGGTGGTTTTTAGTGAGTCATTTGGGCATTCTGTGCTGGCATGCCACAGGAGAAGCAGGGTTGAAAGTGGCCCCCTCACACCTGCCGGTTTTCTTGGGATGACCCCGGTTAAATTCCTCTCTGCAGTTTGGGGAGCCGGCGTGGAGGAAAGAGAGGCATCATCTCCAATGTGGCACAAAATAAAAGCAACAGGAAATCACACAGCCTCTGAGCCTCTGCTTTCTCTGTCCCCATGAGTAATTCAGTACTATTTCAAACATCACATTGGAATTTAGCTCTCCTGCGCTCTCCCCTCCTCCCATTCTTACGCCCATTTTCCTTCTTTCTTTTATTTTCTATCATTGTTTTGCAGTTCATGCACCCTGAGTATTGGACTTTTGCCTTTTACGGTTTTTCAGAGCTACACATCCATACACACGTGTGCATGCACACCTACACACTCATGCGTGGGCACACACACACACACATACATGCACACCCATACACGCACATCAAATTATCCCTGTCTTGCATTTTCTTTCATGCCTTCAGGCAAGGATCATGGGTAGCTACGAGGTTATCTAATGGAAAATGAAGGGGGTTGGCAAATAGATTACTGATCAAAGTTACTTGAGATTAAGAAAGACAGAGACGGTATAGCGATGAGCCCATCCTCAGTGCTTTTCCTTCCTATAGTTCTCTTGAACCACCACACACAAAAGCCAGGTCTCTGGCTTTTCCAAATATTAGGTGTATTGGGGAGCCCACACTGAGGAACAAGAAGGCATGCTACGTCTGTGCCTTCTCTTTTGAGCCAGGCGCTGTAATTCTGCTTGGGAAATACTGTGTTTCTGAGGCGCTAGCTGACGGGCTAGGTGCTGCAGGGAGAACCTTCCTGGGCTGCGAGGAAGACAGCCAGTTTGTTGGTTTCTTTCAATGTCACTGACTGCACTCAGGTTGGCATGATTGTCTAAGAGGATGATGTACATTTGTGAAGCATAGATTGATTGACAACTGGAAAAAAGTTTTGTAGCATTTGAAACGTTGCTAAATATCGGTAACAATAACTATAGTAATGATGATATTATTATAGCTAAGAGACCAGCTATTTTTATGCGGTGTGTTTTGAATCCTGTGATACATTGCTTTTTTTTTTTTTTTTCATTTTAAACTCAGGAGACAGCTACTGTTGTTATAGGTAGCATACAGGGCATCCCCTGTGGCAAGATAAGGGGATGCACATTAAAGTGCTGAAGTGATCATTGGAACTGATACCCATGATTCATGGGTTGGGCAGCTCCAAACTGCAGGTGGCTTGCAGCTCCAGCCAAGCGTGGGAGCGGAGTGGGGGGTCATATGGTAAGTACTGAAGCACAGTGAAGACAGGACTAGCTACAGTGAGGTAGTAGCCTTCAGTCTCCGGTCAGAGGTTAGCATTCACTTCCTGGTGGATAAAGCAAGGTTCAGCTCCCAGCTGTGTCGGTCCTGCTGAGTCCACTTTCTAGTTTGCTTACGTAGCATCCCAGGACACCACAACCATCTCAGCCTAATGGCCGCCCATTTAATTATTGTAACCCTCCATTTTACATATTACAGCTAAAGAAGCTATTTACCTAAGGACAGACGCTTCATTATACATTCATTTATTACTGCCTTCTTTGACTATTAATATTGTTGGTTCTTGTATCTGATTAAGATGCTGCTCGATCGATCCATGGTAACTGTCAGGAAACAAAGTGACTGTGCCACTGGAAAAAGATCTCTAGCTGTGGGTAGTAGAGGGAGACAGTCTTCTGTACTAGGGTGGTGGCCAGCTAAGGTGGCAAGCCTCCCATCCCATAGGCTGGTCGCTCTGACAACATGCAACAGGCATGCTTTAATTTAATTGGGTTGAGGAGGTAAGAAAGAGCAATTTTGAGGTGTGGCTTTTTGAGGTGGTGTGGAGATATGCAAAGGCATTTTTAAAATGGTGTTTTAGTTGGGCAATTACAGAGGTTGAGTAATTTAGTGCTTTGAATAATAGGAAAAGTCAACATTACAGTGTGGGGTGAGGACACAGGCTGCCAGGGACAGAGAGACACAGTGATTGATGGGTACCACCAGCTGGAGAGACCCAGCCTCTAACAGGCATCCTCCTGGCACGGTCTTGGTGATTCTTGGGCTTTCTCACTTTCCCTCCTGTGCGCCCTGGGCACTTGGCACATGAGGACTTTGTCCTCCATGCCCCTGCCTCTGTCTCCAGAGTGGGCTTGGCCAATGGGAGGGGAAGAGGATGTTGGGGTATTTCTTCTCTGTTCTGTGCTGTGTTTCTAAAAATTACCATTTCCTCTTGCAAACAGCTCCAGCAGGCTACCCCTCCTTCCGCGTTACAAGGTAAAATGATCTCCAACATAACAATATCTCCTTCCTGTTCCATCAGTCCTGGCTGCCAGGAATTGTTTCAGGTGATTGTTTCATCCAAAGTGCTCACCCCATCCCTGCGTGTTGAACCTGTGTGTGTGTGTGTGTGTGTGTAGCTCTGGCCTTACCCATTATGCAGTCTCTTCGGTGACCCCTTCCATTCCACCTGTAGTTGATGTCTATTTCTTAGTAGAGAAACAAGGGTTTCTCAAGTTGGATGTGTGCACACATAGCCTAGGGGTCCAGTTCAAGTGCAGATTCAGAAGGTCTGGGGTGGAGCCCAAGAGTCCACACCTCAACAGGTGCCAGGTGATATGGAGGCTGGTTCCTGGAACATCATTCACTGTATGATCACAGCTATAATTCTATCCCTAGACATCTTTTAAAAATTACTTTCTGCGTGTGCTTGTGCACACGTGTGTGTGTGTTGCACTCATGTATGTATGTTGGAATGTACACTCATGCATATGCATGCTGAAACCAGAGGTAGACTCTGGATGTCTCCCCCCTCCACCTGCCTTATTTCTTCAAGACAAGGTCTCTCCCTGAACCAGAATCTTGTTGTTTTGGCTAGGCTGGGTGAGCCTCCTAGATCCACCTGTCTTCCCCACCCCTCACCCCGGTTCTGGGCCTATAGGCAAGGCATGAAAGGTCACATCAAGGTTTTTTGTTTTTGCTTTTGTTTTTTAAATGTGGGTGTTGAAACCCAGGTTCCCAATGCCTGCAGAGCAAGTGTTCTTACACAGTGAGTCATTTCCCCAGCTCTGTCCCAAGGAAAACTGAAAACCAAAACTTTAGGTTCATAGTAGGACATTATAAATGAAAATCCAGACTTAGACTCATCCTGAAAATCAGAGGTAGGTTGCTGTAAAAAAAAATGAAACAAAGTAGAAGGTATTTTGCTTTTCAGGTTTTTACCCTATGCTGGCTACTTTTAGGTCAACCTGACACAATCTGTTTCTGAGAGGAGGGAACCTCAGTTGAAATAAATGCCTCCATCAGATCCATCTGTAAAGCATTTTCTTAGTTAGTGATTAATGGGGAGAGCCCAGCCCATCTTGGGTGGGGCCATCCTTAGGCTATTGATCTTGGGTTCTTTAAGAAAGCAGGTTGAGCAAGCCACAAGGAGCAAGCCAGTAAGCAGCACTCCTCCATGGCCTCTGCATCAGTTCCTGTCTCCAGATTCCTGCCCTGTTGGAGTTCCTGTCCTGAGTTCCCTCAGTGGTGGATTATAACCTAGAAGTATAAGAGAAATAAGCCCTTTCCTTCCCAAGTTGCCTTTGGTCATGATGCTTCATCACAACAATAGACCCTAACTAAGACATTTTCCAGTAGCAGCATATTCTCCCTCTCTCTCTCTCTCTCTCTCTCTCTCTCTCTCTCTCTCTCTCTCTCTCTCTCTCTCTCTCTCTGTCTCTGTCTCTGTCTCTCTGTCTCTCTGTATGTGGAATCTACAAAGTCCACAAATTGCTGACTAATTGTTACTTATTTCAGGGAAACTTATTCTGAACTTTGGACAGTGAAGGTAGCAGGGAGATGCAGAATTTGATTTTAGTATTTCTCCCTCTTAAACCAGAGACCCTAGCTCTAGCATCACTGTATTTGTAAATAAAGCTTTTTTGGCACCTAGCTGTGATCATTTGTTTGTATATTGTCAAGTCTATTTGCCCCTCATGGCAGTCTGAATACTTACAGCAGAAGTCATATGACATAAAGCCTGAATTGTTTGCTACCTGCCTTTTACAGGAGGATATTGTGGGTCCCTGCATTTGACTATTATGCAGTCTCTAAAGAACTAATATCTTGGCGCACACACACGCACACACACACAAACAAAAAAACAGGAATTATCTTGACCTTGTTTACAGACAGGGGAAACAGATTCTTCTATTAACACAGCCAGTTTAATAGTGTGTTTTTAAAAGAAGATGGGAAAACTGAATGTAATTTGAAGAAATTCTATAGTTATTACATACCTTTAAGGAAAACCAACCTTTAAGATGGAGATTGGAAAGCAAACACTGTGACAATGGCCTCTAGGCTATTCAAAAAGTTGGCAGACTCTTAGTATTTGCTATCTCCATATAGGAAAGGTTGTTTTTCCCCTGTTTGAACTGTTCATATATTGGAATCAGGTTTCTAAGGGTGATTAGGGCCTGGAGATCGTTAAAACAGCTTAGGAACAGCTGTTTCGAATGATGCACGCTAAGAAGTGTGCTGCTGCCAGACAGCACCCCAACCTGTCATTATTCATTCCCTACCAAACAGTTGGAAGGCAGATACAAGTATTGTAGGGGTACATGAAGACCCACACTCACCTACATACAGAATAAGTCTTTTATGTAGCCTTGGCTACACTCAAAGTCATCTGGAGGCTTGTGAGCTGCCTGCCAAACATGGTAGAAGTATCTAGCATATGAGATGAAGCACCCCTTGGCACTTGGTGGTTCTGAAAGCAGTGATGGAGTTATTACTTTAGGCTTTAAGGAACATCTTCAGCAATAATTTCTAGCACTTGTAGATTCGTGGGAAAAATGTGCAAAATATCGATTTGTCACAGTGCATGTCATGGCCTAATGCGGTCACTACTAATGGGAGTCAGCTTTGAAATTGTTGAACGTTTCTTGGTGTAGGTTTTTCTTACTCTCAGATGCTACAGGCATTGCTGTGCACTGCATGTAGAGTAAAGAATCCTGTGCACTGCATGTATGTAGACTGAGGTATCCTGTACATTGCATGCATGTAGGCAAAAATCATCCTATACACTGAATGTATGTAGACTGAAATATCCTTTGTACCTCATGTAGACTAAATAGGAAATACACAGTGACCTTATTTTAACTGTGAGCTCTGAAAGGTAAGAACTATCTATAAATATCACTATTTCCAGTTCTTAGTGTAGCCTTGCACATTGTAGATACAGAAAAAACAATCTGTTTAGTGCAATGGGAGCAGAACTATTGTATCAGGTGTGTACTACATGTATATTCAGAGAAAGAGGGACCATTGTGAGCTAATTAACACACTTATGCTGTCTAGGATACAGTTGCTTTTAGGTCTTGGACTGAAGCTCTCCTGCCCTTCCCACAGCTCTAGCAAGGTCATCTGAGCTTGGACCTGCCCACAGGTAGCAACCACGCTTAAGGTGCATATTCCTGCAAATCCACAATGTCTGGACAGTAATGCTCGGAATTTATATTGTGCCTTTCATCTTTGAAGTTCAATGTTCTAACTCTAATCTTTATGACTTATTGGTGAGGTAGGAACTAAGACCTATGTTTTGATTTTCATTTCACAGGTAGAGGTGTGAGCATGTGACCGACATCCAGGTTCAAAGGTCTGTTCAGGGACCCTGCATGAGTCAAGGCTGAGGCGGGAACAGAGATGGACATTTTGTAACCCTAAATTAAAGTTTTCTTTATTCACTCACTTTCAGTTCAAAGGCAATGTGTTGTCCCCCTTCTCCAGCCCATAGGAAAGAGAAATGTGCAATAATTGTATCTCATTCTAAATACATTTAAAGACAGAGATGGAAATCAAGTTACAAAGTCTAAATTTTCTAAAATCGTTTCTAAAGTACTTCTAATGTCTTTGGTCCAACTGCTGGGTTTATCTGGCTTGTTTTGCCCTGATGATTACCAGCCACATGGAGGCTTTAGGCAGATTGCCTTTACTCTTATACTAACATGGCAACAACACTTTCAGACTCAAGACTTTTTAATTAAGGCATGATGATTATTTGCAGGACAGTGCAGGGTTGTAATGCAGTCTAAAAACAAGTCTTTATAAATAATAATAAAACCTAAGGGGAGTTGCACAGGCACATGAAAGAATACATGTTAGATGAACCAGTAATATCTGCTTCCTTGAAGTATCTCATTAGCATTTATCAAGTAGTTAATGGTCTCAAAACACTTGACAGTTAATCCATAGAACATCCTTTGTAGATAATTAAATATTCTGATCTGAACTTCCAGAGGCAGACACACCAAGCAGTCATGAGACTTGACCGGAAGGACAAGACAGGAAGCCGGTGTTGAAGTAGATGATCAATAACTGCGTGGTCCCCAAAGAGATGACTGTTCGAGCAGCTTTTCCGTGTGCCCTTTCAGAGTCACGATGAAAACCCAGGCAAGAAGAAAACTTTTTTAACTTTCATAAACTCATATTTGGTTCAATAAAAATGCAGTTGATTTACATGAAAAGTATTTCTTGGTTGCTGCCAGGCTTATTTGTGGAGACTTAGTAGGATGCTACCCACTCACTGGGTGAGCTGGGAGATACAGGAACTTCGGCCCCCTCACCTCGTGAATTCTGAGGATTCTTAGGACATTTAAGTGTATTTGCTGGAGGTCTGACTGTGTTACAGAAGGACTCCTTGTTCCAGTTCCTGCAGCATCAATGCCACTTTTGGAAGCTGTCTGTACTGTGGTGCAGAGGGGAAGTATTGAAAACATCATCTTGAGATATTTTTTAAGGTGAAATGAGTGATTTTTCCCTTATGTAAATTCAATACCCTTCTTTCTACTTCCTCCCAAATCTTATTTAGTATTTACTTTATATTGATAGTGCAGGGAGCTCCAGCATGCACAAAGATAAGACATAATCAGTATATGAAGAAGGCTTTAGATCAGTAACAACAAGTGAATTGTTTCAACTTTGGAGAAAAGGTAAAAACTTACACTTTTTCTTACATCAAAATTTGCTTTGTTTTGCTTTTCAAGACAGGGTTTCTCTGTGTAGCCCTGGCTGTCCTGGAACTCACTCTGTAGACCAAGCTGGCCTTGAACTCACAGAGATCTGCCTGCCTCTTCCTCCAGAATGCTGAGAGTAAAGGTGTGGGCCACCACAGCCTGGTGAAAAATTTTAACAACACTAAACGCATGCCAACACACACACCTGCTGCTACAGATGGACCCCAGAGCCCTAGCATGCTAGGCAAGTGCTTTGTTACTGAGTCTCATTCCCTGCCCCCTTTCAAGGCAGGGTCTCACTGTGTAGCTTAAACTGGCTTCAGATGGCAAGGTTTCCTGCCTCTGTGCCCCAAGGGCTGGGATTACAGAACCCCAGTCATTATGTCTGACTCTTCTTTATTGCTTTCTTTTCAGTGTGGCAAAAAAACATGACACAAAACAAGCTTGGTGACAGAATTTTATAAAAAGATATAACCTGGAGAAGTAAAGGTTTCTTTAGCTCTTATTTTTCTGAGGGGCCAGTTGTTGTTGTTTTCAAATTTTCATTTATGTCAAAGAAAATATGTTCAGATAGTGATTTCTGACAGTGATGATGTTAGCAAGTCCTTATGACGTCAGCGTGTCGGCTGTGGTTCCACCAGCTTTGTGTCACTAGATACCCACCAAGAAGCTCACTAGAGCCGTCTTCATTTTGTAGTGGATGGAAGTGAGGCTTGGGGTAGCTCACAGGAAGAAGGTCAGACACTAATTTGTGGGGAAGTCAGGATCTGAACCAGGGCCATTCAGCTTCAGGCTGTTAACCAGTGTTTATACCAGTCACCAAACAAGCCCTTTGATCCAGGATGAAGTGGGAATGTCGAAGGATAATAGCTGTTTTAAGGGAGGCGTTCTCAGTGAGGAAAACCAGCAGAATTGGATTCGAATTGTAAATTGTATCCTGTAGACTGGGGCTGAAGAGCAAAGGAACCGGGTGGAAAGAAACTCCATCTAAAATTTCCAACATGAATACTGACTTTCAGGCCACAACACTTTCAGTATGGGTCACTGAAGTGCCTGAGTGACAAGGTATAGGGTCTTTCCTTCCAGCTGACTTTGATAACAGAAAAGGGGGGACAGGAGGGCAATAGAGAATGAGGAAGGCTCAACATAGATAACATCCAACTAAGTTCCTGCACTGCTTTAACGTCTATGTCTACATGCAACATTTGCCTGAAAGATGATTTCAAAGTGCCGTATGCTACATATCCCTCGGATCATAACGATCTGATCTCAGCATTTGGAATGAGTGTTGACCACTAATAGCCTCCCTGAGTCAACCTCTTAACAACCAGCAGAGATGGGTTTTTCAAAGGGAAAGAAACATTGTTAAGTAGAGGCTGGGAAAATCTGAAACTAAGCCCAGATGGCTGGCTGTTAGGTCTTATCTCTCAGAGCCAGGGATGAAAGGCAAGAGAGCAGATGACCTCTTTCTGTTTATTTCCACCCTCCTGTCCTGTCGGAAGCTTTGCCCCCAGAGCTGCCCTATTGTATTTCTTTTCCACATCCTTCCTGCTCCAACTAAGAGAGTCTGAGGCAGCCAGCAGGTCACACCGACAGAAACAGAAATATTATAGACTGCACCAAGGCCACCAGAGGCAGGCAGGGTTTTGGGGTAGTGATATACTAGCAACAGAGGCTAGCATCACAGAGTCAGTGCTAGAGGCAAGGTTCTGTGGAGCCAGGCAGGGCTGGGTCTCTAAGCTAGAAGAGTAGTGCGCGCTTCGCAGAGGGAAGGTTACTGGGGCATGGCCAACTTCATTTCTGGGATCTATCTATCTATCTATCTATCTATCTATCTATCTATCTATCTATCTATCTATCTAATGATTTAAAAACCAACTCTAGTGTCTTATCCCTTTGCTGAGATACTTATTAGTGTGTTTTGCAGTAGATCTTATTATTGGAGTCATCTCTTAAGAATAGCTTTTCCCTCTCTCCCTCATTCCCTACCTCCCTCTCTTCCCCTCCTCCCTCACCCCTCCCTCCTTCCTTCCTTTCTTCTGTTCCTCTTCTATTTTGACTGGTCATTCTAGACTTCTGTAAACACCAATTACCTTAGAAAAAGAAAGTAAGAATTGGGGGAAAGGTAACTTCATGCTTGTATTTAACGAAAGGCAACAGATCACTTCTGGGTTGCCCAATTTTACTTTTGCTGAATAAAACGGTTGAGGCAAACAACTATCATTTGCTCTCATTGTTTCACAGACGAAGGGACTACGTCACCACATAGAGTGGGAAGCAGCAGCACCCTTCCCTACAACCAGTGCCTTGCAGTGTTAAACACACACACCCACTTACAAAGATGGATTTAAACATTTATGAATGTAAGAAAATGATCAAGTGCAGTTTCAGCTCATCAAACACTCTTCAGACACTTGTTTTTTTTGTTGGAAGATTATCAGGAGACGCAATCTACAACGTGAGGGGGAGCCCAGATGTCCTGCTTCTGGGAACAATTTAAAAATCATGTTCAGTATTCCAGATCTTTTCTCCCATAACATGGGAATGGAGATGCTTTTGCTCCTGTGACTCCATCCTATGTGGAATGTGCTAGGCCGGGTGACACTCGGTGCTCGAGGCTACAAAATAATTTGAAACTTGTCTCCCGCTGATAACACGTAGGCTGTACCTTGAGAAACTGGGTGGGTGCTAGTCATGGAGTAGAGGAAAAGCAAAGAAGTGTGGTGGTGGCAGATCTCAGCCTTGCTTTGACCCATCCGAACAATTCAACGTTGCCTCTGACCTTGGAAACCCTGCCTCACAAACCCTAGATCCTTTTGTTAGTGAAATCTGTTCTCCTATGAGGACAAATGGGAGACATCTGTTGTTATTTGAAAATGCTCTCTGGAGTCTACACCGGTCCATTCAACTTGGTAGATACAGGTCTCTTTATATTCTTTCATCTGGAGCAATTCTAAGTGCTCCTCTATTATCCTCACCTGGCACCCAGGAACAACGTTCTGCGCCATGTGGTGTTGAGCCTGAGGTCAAGAAATACCCACATTCCCCATACTAGCTCGTCTGCTCCCTCACCCTGGGTGGAAGGAGAGCAGCCAACGGCAGTGTCTGGTGAGAGGGAGGGATGCAAAGGGAAGCAGGGAACATTGTGTAAGAGCCAGGTGTCATAGGATGGCCCACGTCAGGGTAGACAGAGCCATCTAGGAGAGGCCAAGCAGAAACAGATATTGCCACTTCTGCCTGCTTCACTGTGAACCAAGATTTGAAGATTACTATGTAGACTTGTTATGCGCTCTTACATTTCATAAGTTGACACCCTAAACTCCAGCAGCTCAGAAGGCAGGCGAAGGTACAATTAGTAACGCTGAGCTCACACCCTTGATGCTGGTTTCTAGATGCACACAGCCAAGTTCTCCATTCCCTTCCCTTCTAGATGCTTTGCTGACATGGTTGTAACATGCCTCTAGACAAGAAGGATGCTCCAGGGATTGGTATGGAAATGCACACATCTCTTTCTGCTTTCCATTCAGAAGCCCCCTAACTCATGTGGCTGTAGCAATGAGCACTTCTGATTGGGCTAGGTTACTCAGGTCATAGGGAGAGCGTGAGAAATAGATGAGTGTCCCCTTGACAGTAGGTCACGGGAGAACACTCTAGACCACAGCATGATTAACTAGAATGAAATTCTCGTGAGTCTAGCAGAGATTCAAATGAGTGTAAAGAAAGGGCCACGCCTAGAGTTTGCACTAATTGGACTTCGCCCAGATGCAAAAGCTTGTAAACTTCAAAGAGCAAGGCAAACATTTGTTGATTTCCTGAACAAGTTTGTGGGAAGAAACTTTGCCCTTGTTCTCCAGAATGGCACCGTAGGCAGTAAGGTGGGCATTTTCCAGCTGCAGTGCCCACAGGCCAAAGTCAAGGCAAGTTTTCTTCCCCAACTCCAGCTTTCAGTTGTTCTCAGTGCCTAAGAGCAGAGGTGGGGGAGGGGAGGCAGAGAAGAAGGATGGGATGGAAAGTGTGTTGGTGAAACAAGAGGCAGGTTTTTCAAATGTCCAGGGGTTCCTGTGACATTTCTCCCTTCTGCTCTGAGGTTAGTATGTTTAATTATTAAACACAGAAGCTTCATCAACATTTGGACTCCTTGGAGACAACCAGCAATTATCTTAGATTCTGTTCCCACTGCCATCCCTCCCCAACTTCAAAGGGAACTCATTACCAGGCCCCAAATTCTTCAAATTACTTTCCCATCATCTCAAATGATGTTTATAAGAATTCATAATGAGAGTCTAATCTACCCTTCAGATTACTAAAGAAACTCACAGAAGATGGACGGTGATAAAATTATCCCAACTTGGGGTGATTATCTTTGGATCATTCCTCCCAACAAGATCTTAGTCACTGGTTTGTTAAAATTTTAGGAGATATTTTATGTACATATATTTACAAGAATAATTTATACAGACTTCTCCCAAGCTCTTATTTGCAAATTAACATCCAAATGAGGCT